TTTTACTATACTTTTGGCACAACAAATTCCGAAACAATTTACAACACACAACGACTTCCAATAAACTAAAAATTTTTCATTTCAGATTTCTTATTCCCCTCAAAATTTTTACTCAAAAATTGGCAAAATTTTTTATGTATATTTTCAGTAAAACAAAATGCATTTGCCTTGCCGATGGTCAAATTTATTTATTGTCGTCATTGAGCAAATTTTCACTCTTCCATGAGTTTTGAACATTTCAGAAATATTCGAAATCTACATTTTTCAATGTTCATTTATCTTCTATTTTGCGCTCTGCGCTTTCAAACAAATCGATTTCGGTACATTAGCAAATATACGTACATATATCTTTTCGAATTAAGTCAAAATAGTTTTCATTATATATCTTTATAAATTTTTAAGAGTTTAATGCTTTCGATTGCATTTTTAATTAAACCGAAAGTGCCCGAAACTTCGTTATTGCACAAATTTTTTTACATTTTAATTAAGAAAATTTTCCAAAATGGCAACTTCCAAATTCTTCATTCCACTTGATTTTTGATTTTCTATTTTTTAATTCTCTTCCTCTGATATTAATTTTTTTCTCGTTAATTTTTTTGAGTCTCAGCACTTTTGCCGCTACAATTTTGACTCTTTCTCACACTTCTTCCACTTGCCTACTCGACTTCTTCTACTTTTTCCACTACTTTTTTGTACCTAAAAATTTTTTCAGTGCATTGTTTGTAAACATTGGAAAAAGTATAGTTTTTCACAATTTCACAAAATTCCTATGAAAATTGTTTATATTGAACGAAATTGAGTGCCTTTTCATTTTGCTAATGGCTTTAATTTTATTTTTTTATTGTGTTTGTGTGTGTGTTCACTGCTGGCACTATCTGGTAAATAGTGCTTCTTTGTGGAATCTTCGGGACTGCAATTGTTTAATGTGTGCCTTATGTGCTTTTAACCACTTGTGGATAATTTTCTCATAATATGGAAACCTGAATGTTTTTCTCAGTGTTTTTAGAAGCTATAAGAATAAAATGAGGAACAATAAAAATAAAGAAAAATTTTGGGGTGAAGAAAAAAATACTCCATAAATATATTTCTAAAATGTTTATTGTTCTTAAAGTGCACGTAGTTCTTCGAAGTTTGCGTTATTATAATTAATATATAAAAATAAAATTTTTAAGAAGTAGTCAGTGGTCGAAATGCATTCACACTCTATTATTTAATAATAATATAAATATATTATAATAAATAGTAAATAAAAAAATTTAATATATCATATATAAATATATCCATATAATATATTATATAAATATATTAAAATTATATATCATATAAATGTACTAAAATTATATATGATACTATATATAAACAAATTATATTATTTAAATAATATATATAAAATAATAATTTATTTTATATGATATATATAAAATAATATATATTATAATATAAATGAAATGCAAATAAATTTAAATAACGCAAATTAAATAACGCTGGAATAGATGTAAACACGAAGATCCACTGTTTAAATTAGAGAAGGTTCAATTCCTGACACACGTCTGAAAATTACTTTTACAGACAATTCAATCAATAGATTACTTCCGGTAATGGATGTTTGGCGATATTGAAAACAGTTGTATGGACAATCCAAAAATTCACTTGACAAAAATTTAAGAATATTCTATAAATTTAAAAATGTTCTTAGTGTTTTCTTCTTCCTCCTCCCCGATTTGAAATAGATTTCTTGTCATAGGACAAAAAAAAATTTTTTAATTTATTAATTTAAAAACCGTTTTTATTTACTAATCAAAAAAAAAAAAATAAGTAATAAAATAATTATATAAAAATTAAAAGTAAATATAAGTAAAGTATACCATAAGTGAAATATAGGTAAGTAAGTAAGAATAAATTTCTAATGGGTTTCACGAAGATCGTTTATGGGTACCTTGTTTTTTACTACGGTGATTGTTATTAATATAAGAAATGTATGACTATTCGGTAATAAATATTTAGAAAACTAAATTGAAACAAATATACAATAAAAAAAATTTAGGCGAAAGTGGGAAAAACTAAAATTTTCTCTAGATTATTTGCCCATCAAAGGCAAAAAAACGTAGCGTTTTCAAACGATTTGTTATTTTTAATTTTAGAAAATCAGAGATGTTATTTTACAGAGTTACCAACATAATTTTATTTAAATTTGTCTCACAATTATGCTATTATTATTATTTATGCTATGTTAATTAGATGTCCCCTGCATTCTACTGATTTAGTAATAGCTATTAAATTTAAAACTTTCCCGCACTACTTTAATCAACTGATTTTCTTAGAGAATTTAATGGGGATTTCGATATCAGTTTGTAAGAGTTTTTGCGACCCTTTATTTTCCAATAATTTTAATTAGGTTTATTGCATTTGATGAGTCACTGCGCAATAGGTAAGTAATTGATAGTTCACCCTTCAAAGAGAGAACAAATAAATTTCTGCGCATAATAACTTACTAGACAATCTGGCTACAAAAAATTGATACTACTTAAATTCGTTTTAAATTGATAAATTGCATAGTCATAGACATAGTAAGTTAGTAAAAATGGAAATTGATCAACCTTCCCAAAAGATGATTTCTTTTGTATCCTAAATTCTCTTTTTTTTTGTTTTTGAATATATCAAATTTCTTGGTATCGATTTGAATGAGGATGTTTAGAAAACAATTGATACTTGATACGAGTCATTGTTTGACTGTTCATCTGCTTCATAACTGTCGGCGCGCTGATATGCAAGTAAGTGATACGTTTTTAGTTAGTTAGTGGATGGAGAAACGATTCCTCCACAATTAGCTAAGAAAGCTGTTTTGAACCCACAAATCCTCGTAATAAAGGGCAGAAAAAAGGTCAAGCTAGAACCAGCCAGAGGCATTTATGAAGGCAAGAGTCTGGTCAATGCTAATGCTGGAGATATCGGCGAGTGTGTTAAAGAAGGGAGCCCCTGATTGCTGAGGAAGTATAGGCTCACTTACTATTTTCCTGTCTCAAAAAATTGTCATAAATCAACCTTCGACCGTAGATTGCAGGGGCAGGAATTGCAATACGGCTATTTGTAGAAAAGGCGTTCAGTCTAGCAAGCTAAACTAGAGGTATCTAGAGGTAACTAGTTTACGCTGTTATGCCCACTGTTTCAGATATGCGACAAAGGCACTTTTTATTATTTGGCTGTCAGGAAATAAATCTTGTTTTAGTTTCTAAAATTAGTCTATTTAACAGTAGGTGAATGAAAAATTTAAAGCCTACAGCTTTCGCTTGACATATATGTATTTTAAATTTGCAAATAGTAAAATCTATATAGAAGAAAGTTATAATAGGATTGAGTATTTAATGATTGATATAAAATACTTATAAAAAACTACACAAAAATGATTAATAAAAAATGATAAAATGGAATGAAAATGAAAAAGCTGAAATAATTAATAAAATTAAAGAAAAATTTAAACACAAACAAATTGATAACAAATACTTATAAGAAAATGAAAAAATACAAATAAATACCAATTTATTTTATATTTTGCTTTTAATAATTTTAATTTTAGTTAAGTTTGTTTTTCATAGAATAGAAATACTCTTTAGGTCTAAAATTCTGGAAATTGTTAAGATACCTCGAAAAAATATATATAGTTGAATATATAGTTCATATATGTATATAGTTATTAAATATAGTTGAAAATTTTAAATATTTTAAAATGGATAATTAAAACAACATTAATAGTGTTTTATAAGTTTTAATAATTTAAACGCTTTCATAAGCCAATGTAAACAATTTAAAAACGTCATTTTAATAAAAAAATTAAAACATTTTTTTGTACTTTTAAATTGTCAAAAAAAAAGTAGAGCAAAAGTTTGAAGTTGTTAAGTAGAGAAATTTATATAAAAATTGTAAAAACGTAAAAAAAGAAAAAAAAAAATAAAAAAAAGGGGCGCGCGTCGTTATAACTGAAATGTAAGGGTATAAATTAGTCTATACCGCAACTTCGAAGGTAGTGCTGTTTAAAATTTTAGTCCTACCAAAAGTCATTTGATCAATTAACATATACCATTCTGATCTCTTATCGCATTCTTCCTACTTCCTACTTCTATATGATTTGCCGAAAAGTAGATAAGTTAACGAATATTTATATCTAAGTAGACTTTAATAAATAATACACTTAGACC